CACGCGCCACCATGCCCAGCTAATTTTTTGTATTTTTAGTAGAGACGGGGTTTCACCATGTTGACCAGGATGGTCTCGATCTCTTGACCTCGTGATCCACCGGCCTCGACCTCCCACAGTGCTGGGATTACAGGCTTGAGCCACTGTGCCTGGCCTTGAATATTTGTTAGTGTTCGCCCACAATTCATCCAGGACTAGAATCAACTTCCCCCAGAGTCTTCTTTTTCTGAAGGATTTTCATAAATTTTAGTTTTGCTGGATATACAACTCTTCCTTACATCTTTTCTTATGTCAGTTGTGGTACATTGTATTTTTTAATCATCTGTTTATTTTCTCTCAGGTGTGGTATTCGTTGGCATAATGCTTCTGCAATATTTTCTTGTTATCCTTTTAACGTCTACAGGATTTGGGATGATAGCCCTATTTTACTATTTGTAACTCAGTCTTTTTCATTTAGATTTATCATAATTTTCTTAACGAGTTCCATTTTCATGGATATTTGTATTACACTATTATATAATAAATAACTCTTGACTGGTTATGATACCTCCTGGCACTTTGGGAGGCTGAGGCGGATGGATCATGAGGTCAGGAGTTTAAGACCAGCTTGGCCAAGATGGTGAAACCCTGTCTCTACTAAAATTACAAAAATTAGCAGGGTGTGGTAGCATGTGCCTATAATTCAGGCTACTCGGGAGGCTGAGGCAGGAAGGGAATTGCTTGAACTTCGGAGCTGGAGGTTGCAGTGAACTGAGATCACACCTCTGTACTCCATCCTAGATGACGGAGTGAGACTCTGTCTCAAAAAAATAAAAAAGTAAATAAAAATATATAACTCTTTACTGCATATATCTTTGTACACATTACATTTTTCTATGTTGAATTTTTGAGGTGGAATTTCCGGGGTCAAAGATTGATATTTTTGAGATTTCTAGTGCATTTGGGCTTGGCTTCCTAAAAAGGTGGCCTGAGTTTATACTTCCAATAACTTCGTGTAAAGAGAAGATTCCTTTGCATCCCTGCAATCTTAGTTATACTATTATTTAATCTTTGCTGGTTTTATAGGCAAAATATTGATCTTTTTTTTATTTTGAGACGAAGTCTCACTCTGTCACCCAGGCTGGAGTCCAGTGGTACGATCTCGGCTCACTGCAACCTCTGCCTCCCGGGTTCAAACAATTCTTCTGCCTCAGCCTCCTGAGTAGTTGGGATTACAGGCACCCACCACCACTCCTGGCTAATTTTTGTATTTTTAGTAGAGACAGGGTTTCACTATGTTCGGCAGGCTGGTCTTGAACTCCTGACCTCGTGATCCGCCCCTCTCGGCCTCCCAAAGTGCTGGGATTATAGGTGTGAGCCACTGCACCCAGCCTTGATTATATTTTTATTTGTAATCTTATAATTATTGAGATTAGTTTTTTGTTATTTCATACTTGTTTTGTGAATTGCTTGCTTATGGGTTTTTTCTATTTCACTTGAGAGGTATTTGAATTTTCCTCATTAGTTGTTGGAGGGCTTTGCATAAAATATTACCTCTTTTTATATGTATTACAACTGCTTTCCCCATTTTGCCACTTCCCTTTTAATTTTTGCTTATACTGTCTTTTGATTAGAGAAGTTTTGCATTTTTATGTAGTCAATTCTATTAGTCTTTTTCCTGTTAGTTTATGTTAATATGCTTAAGATCTCTCACAAGAGTGTGTAAAGTGATTACTTACACTTTTTTCCTATTTCTTTCTGGTATTTAACTCTTTAATCCACTTGGAATTTTTTTTTTTTTTTTTTCATAAATTATAAGGCAAACTATTTTTTTTTTCAAATAGTTGAATAATATAACTTATTAACATTGATTAGAAATGCCCCTAAGTAATATTGATACATTTTAATGAATAAAGAATTTGCTTTTTTTTTTAGACAGGGTCTCACTGTGTCACCCAGGCTTCAGTGCAGTGGCACAATTGTGGCTCACTGCAGTCTTGATATCCCAGGCCCAAGCAATCCACCCACCTCAGCCTTCCAAGTAGCTGGGACTGCGGGTGTGCACCAGCATGCCCAGCTAATTTTAAATTTTCCTGTAGAGACAGGGTCTCCCTTGGTTGCTCAGGCTAGGATTAGTATCTTAATATCTTAATTATAATAGCATTTCCTTGCATTCGTATAAAGCTTTTTACTTAAAAAATAAAAAGTGCCTTTCTTATTTAAATAATTTCTAAAGAAGTATTAAATACTAGCAGAGTCCTGAAATTACTTGAAGCTATTAGGTAACAACTTTCAATTATAGTGAATCAAGACCACATTCTCACCTTGTAGTTTTTTAGGATTTATAGCTCTTTTTTGATACAGGAGATTTATTTGCTCCTTCATCCCTCATGAACAGTCTTGGAGAAGTTGTATTTAGTTACATGGTTTGGTCATGTTGACTTTGTGAATTTGTTACTCAGAGTGCTTAATTATGAGTTGCTGAAATATTCCCTCTATCTGAATCTGATATTCCTAAATGAGACCCTTGGGCCTGAGGGAGTTGGTATCTCACTTTTATTTATTGCTAGGATAAAAATAACTATAATTTATTGTGCATTTATTATATATTGTAAATGCATAAGGAGTTTGCAAGTGTTTATTTAATCCTTTAATAACCTTGGGAGATAGACATTACTTATTATCTCTGTTTTATAGATAAGAAAGCTGACACTTAGAGAGGTTAAGTAATAACTGGTTAAGTTGGATTTTGAATCCTAATTTCTCTGATTCCAGAGTTCGGACTCTTAACCACTATAATATTTTGCCTGAATATATTTACCTGTTGGGGGTAGTAATTTTTTTAGGATGTGAGAGAAAAATTCTTTAAAACATTTTTCCCTCTTTTTGCTGAGGTATACTGAAAGCTATTCTGATGATGATTCAAGTGTGGAAGAGTACCGAGATCCACAGGTAAGCCAAACGTTTAGTGGGTCCACTTTGATTTTTTCTTTTTTAATCGTTATGATACCTCCTTAGAAAAACTCAGTAAGAGCTGGGCATGGTGACTCATACCTGTAATCCTAGCACTTTGGGAGGCTGAAGCATGTGGATCATTTGAGCCCATTAGTTTGAGACCAGCCTGGGCAACATGGCAAAACCCTCTCTCTATAAAAAATACAAAAAAAAAAAAATAATAATAAGCCTGGCCAGCATGGTGAAAACTAGTCTCTATTAAAAAAAAAAAAAAAA